CCCCCCCCCCCACCCCAACCCACCATGCCAAGTTCAGTGTATGCAGTGCTCATTCCAGATGGTCTGGGACCTGTCAGGAAGAGGTCCAGCATCCCAAGCACGTGGCTGGCACTACAGGAATGAGCCATGGTGCCAGGCTTCTTCCTACAGTGCTGCTGGGGCTCCAGAACCACTACAGTCAAGTGCCCAAGTTAGAACTATAGCACTGGAGCCTCAGCAGCACTATGGCTTCTTCCCACAGCTGCACCAAGTGCCTGTGTCTCCAAGTCACCACGTGTTTCAGTGCTGGTGCCCCAGCAGCACCATGGGAAAAAGTTCTGGCATCACAGGCACTTTGCCTCTTCCATGGGAATAAACTGCAGTGTTGCTGAGGCTCCAGCACTGTGAGTCTTACCCAGGCACTTGGCTGTTGCCATGGGAAGGTCCCCCATCACAGCCACAGTCAGGGTAAAAGTCTGCGGGCCAGCTGACCCAGCTCTGAGGGCTGGATCCAGCCTACCAATGTTTGACAGCCCTGGCCTACACAGTCCTTCAGTTCATTCACTTGCTTATTCAAGAGCTCATTTCCAATTTACTGCAAATTGAACATAAGCACTTTTACAACTCAAGTTAGCAATCTAGCAAGACGATTTTATAGTCCCAAGAGGCCTTGCATTTTTATGTTGTATTAACTTGTTTGTATCTTAAATACTTTAGCCTTCTTTGGATGGGTGGGCTCTAAACATATCTGTAAGGGGATGTCAAATCTCATTGATTAATGCACTGTGTGTACCTCTCTTGTTTTTATGTTTGATCTTCAGGATCAGATTTTTATGGAGAACATTGGTGCAGTTAAGCAGCTCTGTAAACTAACTAACAACCTTGAAATCAGGATAGACGAATTGGAACTGTGGAATAGAAAACTGGCCAAGCTGAAACGGATAAGCAGTTTAAAGTCATCAGTCAGTGAAAAGAGCACGGTCAGGTATCCTCATTTCAGCTCCAGGGTATTTTCTCATGGTTCTGTTAAGGGATATGATAATGCATCCTTGGTCTGGTACAAGTTAAAACTATTTTAGTCTGAAACTGGACTCCAGTTCAATTCTAGGTGTGCTTTCTTCTAGTTTTTATAATTCAGGTCATGTGCAGTACATGCAAGCTTTCTCATTTCTTAAGTCACTTAAAAGTAATATCTCCATATTTGAAATGGTAGCTCAGTAGTGATTGCTTTTGGGAGTTCTGTATTCTAAGAACATGATACAAGAATGGTTCTTGTTATAGCCTCATAACTTGGAAATTGCTGTTTAGAGAACTTCACAAAAGCCTCTTTTATGAAGCAAAACTTCATTACTATTTCTATGAGAAAATTATGTGCATTTCATATTTCTAAATCTCTCTTTTTAAGGTTTTCTTTGAAATTAAATGTAGCATTTAATAGTATTCACCTGAGCAAGTTAACTAGAGGCTTTTGTTCTTGAAAATGAATTTAACGGCCCTTTTAATTTTTTTCTTTTTAAATGTTACCATCACAAAAGCAAGTGACATTAAAATCCATCTTGAAAAACATCCCTTTTCCATTTATTACTTGCTGAAGTATTTGAATGGTAATGAGTTTTTGTACATTACAGCAAATTCAGTCGACCTGCTAGTCTTCTACCCTCAAGAAAATCAGTTCCTATAAAAACCAGCAAGGTGAGTAAAATTAAATGTGTGAGGAGAGAAAGAAAGGGAGAGAGATGGCGAAAGAGTGAAAGAGGGTTTTTTGGTAAGGTTCAAACACAAACGTGTTTAATATTTAGAGGAAATAATTTCAATTTGCTAAAGGGCTTTTTATAGGCCTATATTATACCCTGTTAAAATCTATTTTTCAGTTGCATTGAAAATTATATTAGTATCTCTAAAATAGAAGTAGAGGCAATCAGAATTCCTTAACTAAGATTATTTAGTATTGCATAATAATCAGCTGCTGCAGCAAAGGAAAAGAAAAATCAAAGAGAACGTTTGTATGATTCTAATACAGGGGTATAGGTTGCAGCCATGTTGGTCTAAGGACATAGGCAGACAAGGTTCTTTGCATGAATCTGATATCTTTTATTAGACCAACTTAAATAGTTGGAAAACAATTATTAAGCAAGCTTTCGGGTTCAAAACCCTTCATCAGGCTGAGGAAGTTTCAGTAGTCGGTGTGTGCTCTTCCTGGATGGAATGAAAAATAAACAAGCCAGAGGCTGGGCTGGGCTGCATACAAGACAGGTAGTCAGTGAAAATGTAGATTGAGGAGTCAATGGGTGAGACACAGGCTTGGGGGCGGGGAAGAGAGAGAGAGAGAGAGAGAAGGGGGATGACTAGTGGAGAGATACCTAGGGAGTCAGATGTCAGGCAGGTTATAATGTGTCATAAATCCCATGTCTATATTTAGTCCATGATTTTTAGTATCCAGGAGGCTGATGAAGTGCAGTTCATAGCCTCTGGCTCCTTTATTTTTCATTCCATCCAGGAAGAGCACACACCAACTGCTGAAACTTCCTTAGCCTGATGAAGAGTTTTTGAATCCAAAAGTTTGCTTAATAATCGTTTTCCAACTATTTAAGTTGGTCTAATAAAAGATATCAGGTTCATGCAAAGAACCTTGTCTGCCTATGATTCTAATACAGGCATTACTAATTTTGGGGGAAAAATTTTTATTCCTTGGAAATCAGAAAAGTTCCAAGCTTTGTGATGGGAGAGGTTGTGGAGTTTGGAAAGCATGTGACAGATACAGCCATAGGGCTTAGTTTGTAATAGTTGTGTTCCCTGCATTCTGACACAGTCTCATTGCAAGGGACTGACAAAGTCAGAAGATATGGGTTGAATTACTTCAGTACAATATCTCTGGCCCTTCAGTATGATGTCTCTGGCCCTTCAGGCTGCTCACCCTTTCAGAAGCAGATCCAGAACTTTGAAAAGCAGGGTGCAGGAGAAGCAACTGGTACTGAGGGGGTGGCTGAACACCCCCTCCCAGACTTATTTCCTACCCCTCCAACTGGGATAGGCTGACTGCATCTTGAGAGGAACAGTTGGGGACTTTTTAAGTCCCCAAAGCAGGTATGACTTCTTCCCCTCCTCTTCCCCTACTCCCTCATCTGCTGCTGCCACTGGTCTGGGGGTGAGGGGAGCTCCAGAGCCATTCAGCCAGGTGGCACAGAAACTGGGCTTAGCCTGGGACAGTGGCAGTTACGTTGGTGGTGCACAGGGAGGTTTTTCCTCCCCAGGCCTGCTCCTGTGCTGGTAGAGAGCACCCAGGGGGAACCGTGCAGTAAGGGAGAACCCACCTGCCACTGCTGCTGCCCCAGGCTGACCCCCACTCCTGTGCAGCCCATCTGGAGTAAGACAAGAGCTTTTCTTGCCCCTGGGACAGTAGAAGCGGCAGGTGAGGGCTGGGAGGGAGCAGAGGGGGGAGGGTAAATGACGTGCTTCTAAGCATGAAAGGAAAGAGTTGGAAGGGAGTTCTTACTTTCTTCAGGGATAAAGTCCCCAGTTGCTACTCCTGCTGTGTGGTCAGAAATGGGGATACAGCCACACCACTATGCCAGGGCTGGATTAATGCATAGGCAAACTAGGCACATGCCTAGGGACCTGAGCTCCAGGGGGCCCTGGTCTTTCCCTCCGTGGCAGCGGCACAAATGGCCCTGTCTGTCTCCCTTCCCCTCCACTCCACTGGCTTTGCCACTGCGGTGGCTGCTTCCTAGCAGCAGCTCCAAGCCCTGCTCCCCACAGGTAGGTGTGCTGGGGTGGGGAGGGGGGACTCGACTGGCCCAGGGCCCACAAGTTTGTTTGCCTAGGGCCCACTAAAAAGTTAATCCGGCCTTGCACTGCACCACTCTGAATCTGCCCCTGTACACTTTGTACTTCTGTCTTCTGTTATTGCTGGTGCCAATGTGCAGCTCTGGCTGACAGGACAAAACACATACTATTTATCCAGTAAAGACTATGTTCTGAAACATTTTTGTTCTTGCTTGAAATGCTGACGTTCATCAGATTGTTTACCTTGATCAGAATGCATACTAGAGGTCCCTCATATCTGGATGTTGGCATTGCCAATTAATTTCTTTATTTGACTTAAATTTACTTCCACACTGGGGAGATGAGTAAAAAAGTAGCTTTTTCCATGAACAGTATCAGTTCCATGGGTTTTTTGCCTGCTTTCTTTTCCTATTTTTCCATTTTCATGAGCACATATATTGTATAGTATTTCTGCTACCCTGCCGTCAAGAGAAGCCTATCAGCATTTTTAGGCAAAATTTGCTTTATTAGCAATTTATTAGCCATCTAGTAGGCAGCTACATGTTACAGACTATTTTATGTCAACTGAACACTTTTTCTAGGTTTGCATTTCTGGGAAGAGAGATTCATGCTCCAACAGGATTTTCCAGATGACTGTAATAGCTTTGGTGGTTATTATGGCACTATGGTAGGAAAACTATCTCAACAAATTGATTGTTTATTCTTTCTACTCGTGTTTTCAAAAATTAGATTCTCAAAGTTAGCTTTGGTTTGGAAGAAGCACTTTAAATTAGAATTTG